AAAGATGCTAAATGTTACTAATTGTTTAATAAATGAAAATCAAAACCACTATGTGATATCATTTCCGCACCCATCAGGATGATTATTAACAGCAACAATAACAAGAAAGAGACCAAAAATATTGGTGAGAATGTGGAAAAATTGGAAAGTTCTGTGTGTGAAATGCAAAATGGTGCTGTCACTCTATAAAATAGTGTAGAGGTTCCCTACAAAATTAAGACTAGAACTATCATATAATGCAACAATCCCACTTTTGCATACTTATTCAAAAAAATTAAAATTGAGATTTTTAAGAGTTAGCATTCCTATAGGCATTTCAGCACTACACACAATAGCCAGGATATGAACACAACCAAAACATTAATAACTGATGAAATAAAATAAAGAAAATGTAATATAGAGAATGCAGAGTGGAATATTATTCAGCCTTAAAAAGAAGAAAATTTGCAAGATGAATGGATGTTGAGGTCCTCAAGCTAAGTAAATAAGTCAGTCACAGAAGAAAAGATATTGGACAATTCCACATATATGGGGGATCTAAAATTATTCAACTCATTGAATCAGATTGCAGAATGATTATTGCCAGGGATGGGGATTAGGGGTGGAGAAATAGAATGTGCTAATCAAGGACATATTCTTAAGTGAAACCAATAGGACACACATATGTAAATACTGAATAGTTTCTCTAGTGTGAGAAACTGAAAGTGTAAATAATGATTAAAATGAATAATTGATAATGGGAAATAGGAAGAAAAGGTCCAAAGAGGTAAGGGAAGTGGGAGAGGTAGGGGAAAGGAAAGAAGGGAAAGAAAAAATTATGAGAAAAGGAAAAAATGGAAACAAAGTCTTTGTAAATAAGGAAGGGTGGAGGGGGTGAAGGGAGGACAGGAAATGGGGAAAAATAAGAAACAAGATATATCATGTAAAGGTACAAGTACCCAATGATAAATGTAAATGTATTGTATACCTAAAATGTACCAATAAAAGAATCTAAGGAAAAAGAAAGAAGCATTATGTTTCATCTATGCAAGATGAATAGGTCTAGATAGAATACACTTTAGAGATCTGTTGTAAACCATTATGACTGTTTTATTGTATACTTAAAAATTTGCTGAAAGAATAGACCTCAAATGTTCTTACAAGAAAGAAATGAAGAGATCCCCTGTGCCCATAAAAGAATTCATTGGGCACACAGGGCACAGAATCCTTACTGTAGACCTTGCATAGAAAGCAAAGAGGACCAAGACTAGGTCTCCTGGGTAGGCTAACATTGTGTGGACATGTAAAAGGACATGTGACATGCGATGCTAAGTGAAAAAACCAAGGTCCTTACACTGAGTACAAATGGCATAATTAAAGAGAATGAGTAGTTTATATATTAAATAATTTAAAAATGTGTTGACCATGGAAACACAGCAGTACAAAGGATGTGGTAACTGGGATAAAAGACTAGGTTAATCAGGGAAGCTTTTGTGACAGATACTGGGAATTTTTTCATATGTCAGAACAGCAAATGTTTTGTTTGGTTGGTACCAGGGATCGAACTCGGATCCTTGCGCTTGTGCAGCAGGCAGAGAAACCACTGAGCTAAATCCCAGGCCCCAACAGCAAATGTTTGATGGTAAACTAGACCAATGTTTCCTATGAAAAGTTTAGAGAATTGGATTAATTAGAAACATCTTGGTTCTATCAATGGACAGCTGCTATACAAACTTACCCTAATGCAGAAGCCCAGGGTAAACAACTGAGTATTCCCCAAAAAGCCAGACGTTTTAAAGTTTAATAGGTTTCCTAAAATATAAAGATAAGAAATGATGGAAGGAGAATAGATCCATTTTGAAAGAGTATTTCATATGAGGTTTTCAAAATTCCTTGGTTGGGGTTTATCTAATAGGTAAGGAGTTAAGTTATACTTTTTTATCCTTGAAATTTTTATGTGGATGATAAATTATGATCTTAGTTGTTTAAAACAGAAGTTTTAACTTTGGTTTTCTATGTTATTATTGGGGTTTTTTTTTTTTCGCTTCTCACCAATTAATTTATATTGAAACAAAGAAGTCAGTAATTTGTAGCCAGATTCTCCCTTTTCCATTCCAAATTTGCAAAATTGAAGGAAAAGTTTGGTCAACATTCTGACAGAGATGCTTATGTAGGAAATTTTTTTGTGTTGATTTTGATAAAAAGGAGTTAAAAATCTATTTTTTGTGCCTCCATAAAATTTTGGACTATTTGACAATCTTTAAAGCCAACTCCAATGTATCACATTCCAGAAGATGATTTTTTTCTGAAAGAATGTCAGTTTTGTGTGTGCATATGGCTTTAGAAAAAGCACTTATCATTTCATTCAAAACTGCAAGCATTCCCCAGGCTAATCTATAACCTTGTTTAGCCACATGTATAGTTTCTGAAACTTAGTTAAGATCACTGCAGCTTGAAAAGCTAGTATGTGGTCCTTGGTAACTATCTGCTAAATAGATCTCTTCTTCTTTCCCCATTTTCTCAAGTGCCTTCTGTTTCATTTTTTCCCACCCAAGCATGATTTCCTATGAATCTTGGTTAGAATTTGGAAAAGAAGAGATCAAAATACACTTCTCATATCCCATCACAAGTTTGGGAAGTGATCCGGTGTGCCTGGCTTGGTATCTCAACTTTTTTGGAAATTGACTTTTGAAGACAAAATGCTATTTTTGTTTCTGTAATTCTCCTGCAACAGTAAATTCTGGAACATCATAATAATAAGCTTTTCTATTCTGTGTATAACTTATTTTCCATCTTTGGTGATGGTATGATCTGATCCCAATGTGGTGAACAGCATGCTTCATAGACAAAGGCAGGTGAAGGCAGGGACACAATCTGTCTCACACTGTGCTGCCCTAACCAGGCTACTTTCTCCAGTGTTTTTGTTTTCCTGCTCTACTCTTCTCTTGCTTATTTATAACATTTCTAAATAATAAAATGTTATCTGCATTTCACTGCTAGAATGGAAGAAATGCAAGAATGTATGGAATAGACAAAAGCATGAATGGATGTTAATTACAGAGCACAGCCAAATGGAAAAACTATTTTAAAGTCATTAAGTTTTATTTCACGTAATTACAAAGTATTATTTTTGTCTTCTGACAGAACATTGGATTGTAGAACTTCAGCTTTTTTCTTCAATAGGGTCAGATATTCTCTTTGCTAGTTGCCAGGCTTAGTGCTAATTTTGTGACAACATTTTCCCATGAAGATTTGTGTAATATAAAAACACACTTAGAAATTTCTAAGCATGAAAATATTTTGTTTATATTTACTCAGGAGAAGGTAGATCCAAATTTCCAAATAGCTGTGTATATCAAATACCATAGAAAATAGAAAAAATGTAAGAAAACAATAAACATTTATTAAAGAAGAAGGTAATGCACGTGAAAGTCCTAATATCTAATAAAAGTCTGAGAAGAAAAATGAGCCATCATCATTGTTTTCTATTCTAGAAGGGAATTATAGGATAAAATTTGGGAAGGAAAATGTGAACATATCTTTTCCCTCTTCTAAAGATTCCAAAAGTGCAACATTTCCAGTTGCTGACTATGAGACTTTCTAAGCATTCTCAACAGGCTTTTGGGATTATTTCCTTATTTTCTATTTTAGTGTTAATTAGCTATAAAATATTAATTAATATATTAGTTCCTTATAATTATGCTCTGTAATTGATATAATTATAAAATGTTGATAAATTGATTGCTACTAATTAAAATATTCTGATAGAATATTAATTAAGTGAAAAAATAACTCTATACTCAGAAAATTTATGTGACGGGGTTGCCAAGTTCTATTTTTTTGCTCAAACAGCTATTTATTAATAACTTTAGAGTTGAAAGATCATAAATAATTTTCTTTTTTTGCTTGTTTCATTTCTATCACACTAGTATTTTAGTGGCTAACTGTACTTCATATTTTTTCAAACTTATACAATTTGTTTCCAGGTTGAAGCAATTTCAAATTCTAGATAAGTGGTTGAAGTAGAAACTTTTATCTTTGTTAGCAATAAATCAACAAATTCAATTAGGAGAATGTGTAACTCCAAAAATTTGACAAGACACTATAGTCAGCTTTCAGTTTTATAGAATCAGCAACTTAGAGCAGGTACATATAAAACAAGCTCAAATATATTATTCAAGAAATTGGTCATAAAATTCAATTGTTTAATCAGCAGAAAACATTTGCCAAGGGAATAAATTATCATTTGGATGCTTTTAACTTAATCTATAAGTGCCTTTTGGTTTGTTGTGTAACTGACAGCTTACCTTAAGGCTTGCAAGGATGATCTCTTCAAGGACCAGAGGAAGAGAACATTTCTCACCTAGTTTAGTTGCCTTGGTCACTGTCTTTTAAAAGAGAATAATGTATGATTAGATGACTTTTTCGGGTTAAATATTGGTTTTATACTCAATAGAATATTTTTTTCTGAATTCTCTTTAGATAAAATATACTAATTTTATGAAATATAGTGACATAACAGCCATCAGAAAAGGTTTTTCTTTCAGTGTTTTGGTAATTTTATATTTTATAATACTTATTTCACCACAGGTATAGTTTCAAACTTAGGTAATATTGCTGTACAGTCTATGTTACTGTGCTAATATAAAATTATACTATAATATAATTGAACAGAGTGGCTGTCCATTGCATTGTCAATATCAAATACAATAGTCTAAAGAAAGTGATTTAATGGACTTTAATTTTTAACAAAGCTTCACTAAATAATACATTGGCATTCTAAGAGGCACTATATATATGTAAAGAACATTAAAAATATTTAACTCCGTAAGGCATTATGCTACATTAATACGGTATGATAAATTTTAATCTGTTGTTACCATGCAGTGAATAGTGATCATTTCAAGGCAGAAGTCTTTTTAAACTCTATAGCTTAAATTTTGCTAAATACATATGTAGAGGAGGTGGAAGTAGGTGAAAATGTAGGGGATTGATATTGTACTTCTTTCTTTCTCTTCTAGGCTTATCTCCATTCAATTTGTCCAACTAGGAGAGATTCTTTCCAGCATCATCTGTCAGGAAGTAACAATTTGATGGTGAGAAGTTCAACTTCACACATAGATCTATTACTTAAGCAGATGATCGATGGGTTAATGGAAGACCATGGTTTCCAATTATATCTTTTCCACTGGCCATTTGAAAATTCCCCAGTGTGCACTTTGGAGATGAAAATGCAAATGTTACTTGATGTTTGAGAATATTAGCAAATGGAAATAAATCCAAAGGCAAATATTCAAGTTCATGAGGGTCTAGGAAATACTTCATGAGACATAATTAAAAGAAAGGTCTAGGAAATGCTTCATGAGACATAATTAAAGGAACTGTGATATTAATAATATACAAAGTAGAAAAATTTGAAAAGGGATAGCTATTTCTCAACTGGGGAAAGACTGTCATGTGGAGGAGAGAATGTGGGCTAATAATTCTGGGTAACATCAAAGTAAAAATAGGATTAATATTATAAAGACGTTGATATGAGTGAACATAAAGAAAAGTTTGAGAGATTGAACATTGCAGACTTTCAACATGAAGGTAGGGGGCCACTGTCCAGGAATGCAAATAGCCTCTACATCCTGGAAAGAGAAAGAAATTATTTATTCCCTTACAGTCTTTGGAAAAGAGCACAGCCATGTTGACACCTCAACTTTAGCCTGTATGATTTGCTCTGAATTTTAACCTTCAGAACTGTAATATAACAAATTTATATTGGTTTAAGCTAAAAAAAATGTACAATTTCAGTAGTTGAAAATGAAATACAATGCCACAGGAGATAACTGAATCTCTGTAAAATGGAGTATAAATTAAAAACCATATCCCAGGGATAGTGGAGAAATTAAGGATACAATATTGTATATGCTAGACCTTGTTGTAAGTACTTAACATATTAATATACTCAATCCTGATAGCAACTTTAGAAGATAAAGTCTACCATAACCCAACCCTATTTTATAGATAAAGCAATAAGAACATGTAGTAAATCTATCCTAGATTTACAAAAGTGGTATGTATGGAGTTGAGGTATGAACTTATGCATTTGGCTCCAGGATAAATTCTTAATCAAACTGAACTATATTGATTCCAAAGTAGTCTATGTTACTATTGCTGATGCTAATATTATACGAGTATTTATCAGTTCTCCAGTGTGATAGAATTGGCAAGAGCACAAACTAGTATACAAATGAAGGGGAGCCAGAAAAAGGTCAAGGGCATGGAATATTGCTCAAATACTGCTCAAAATGATATCTCTAGTAAGATTTAGAAAACACTCCCAAAGCAAGCATTCCAATATATATTCAACCAATCACTGTTTATAAATTATTTTTTAAAATGGCAATTGCAGTTTTTCTCAGATGGTGGACAACAGAACAAAATCTCTCCAATAAAATGAACTTCAAAGGAGTCTATTTGCTTCATATTTCCTCACTGCTCTGTAGTGTTCCATAATTTGAGTTAAGTTTTATGCCCCTATGTCTGACCCCACTCTATCAGTCTAATCTTTGAGTGTACTTTTTGGCTCACTTTACTCCTCTTTCCACATTCTTCATCTCATATTATTTTAGGTTAGCCTCTTTTCTTTTCCTTATTTTACCTTATTAAGCTAAAATTAGCCCATTCGTTCAAATCCTCTCACCTCCAAGTGCATACTGATTTTGATCCCTTGAAGTTTTTCTAGAGTTGCCTACACCACTTCTTTTATCCTAAATTATGTTTGCAAGTATAATTGGTAGATCTAACACTTCTCTTTTTTGGGTACCCAGGATCAAACTCGGGCTCCTTGTGCTTGCAAGGCAGGCAGTGCAACCACTGAGCTAAATCCCCGGCCCCCGATCTAACACATCTTAGTTCTTTGATTTAAGTCTATCCATGTAGAATGCAGACTATTAAGTGTTCTTTCACAGTTGTATTTCAATATTAGTATTTTTGGTGCTGTAGATAGCTGCTAATTATTTCTTCTAATTTTCTGTAGTTATTGGAAGATGGTTTTTCAAGATATTAACAGTGAATAATTTTTATCTTCCAACTAATTTTTGTTGCATCTTTTAAAAATTTTTGTTAACCTGGGTGTGGTGTCACATGCCTATAATCTTAGCACTTTGCAAGGCTGAGTTCAGAGGATCATAAGTATTAGCTCAGCCTGGGCAACATAGCAAGAGTCTATCTCAAAGAAAAAAAAAATGTCTTGGGGATGTAACTCAGTGGAAAGAACCTTGGTTCAATTCCCAGTCCAAAAAAGAAAAAAAAAGTTAAAAATACACGTTCTGGTATTCCATTTACTTGTCTACTGGCTCTCAGCTTCCTTCAAATACTTCTTTGTTTACCTGTGTAAGACAGGGTACAGGAAAAAGCCAAGTAATCTTCCCAGTATTCCTTGCCAGCAGATTTCCAGGAAAATCTGGCCAATGGAACACCCTGACTGGAGATTGGTAAGAGGAAGGGAGGGAACGTGTTCCTTAATTTAGATTTCTGAGATTTCTCTGGTGGTAACAGTGACAGCACAGGGAGATGATTATAGGCTCCAGCAATTGTGGTGATAGGGTCACCAGCATATCAATGGGTGTTTCAGCAACATCAGTGGAATCCATGCTTCTGCACTGCTCTGATGCTGTAGTTAGCCTCTCTGGAAGGCCAGCTGGAGGGCTGCCTTGAATGTTTTGCCCAAAGTTACAAAGACATGCCTGATTTCCCAGGAGCATTTTCTTTTCCTATTTCTCTTCCAGTATATTTCCCTTCTTAGTTCTGCTTCCTTTAATCTTTCAACAGACTTGTAGGTCATTCCATGCATTCAAATTGCTCTACCTAAAATGCTTGCAGTGGTCTCTGCTTTTGTGAGTAGACACGAACTGTTAGATCTATACTTGGATTGTGTCTGTTGCTGAGATCTCTGCAACACTGTCTGGAACAAATATCTGTTCTGTGCTACACTTCTGCCGTTGAGGTTGGAGAATCTCCACAATACATCTTAGTATTGAGCAGCCTGTTTTGTTGACTTGAGCTTTCCCATTGTATTTTCCTCACAGTTCTATTTTGGGAGTTCAGGGCATCTAACAAAGCATACTCGTTATCTAAGACTGGATTCTGAGGTTATTAGAGTTAGATCACAGACACAAAGAAATGAATATAATATAATTTACTCAAATGCTGACCAACTGAATTTTTAATGAAGGTTTAGATCTTTTGAGCAAATGGGCCTGCTGTTATTTTTTCCATGGTATGAATTTAACCACTTTTTTGTCAAAGTAGCAGATTAATTATTGCTCACTTAGCAGATGTTTCTTGAGCCCACTGTATAATCCAGGCACATTTTAAGCAGGAGGCTAATGCCAGTGAACCAAGGAGATTAGTTTCATAAAAAAAGAGAAAAAAGGAGGATGAGATGACCACACCTGACTTTTTGTTCCAAATTCACAGGTTAAGGATATTAGTCTTCTTCTTCTTTTTTTTTTTTTTTTGGTACCAGGGATCGAATTTGGGACCTTGTGCTTGCAAGGCAGGCAGCGGAATCACTGAGCTAAATCCTTGGCCCAGAAATTAGTCTTCTTTTATCTATGAGGAAGGAATGAGTATTGTGGATAAAAATCAGGAAGAAATCTCAGAAGTCAAGTGGGAGTCTCATTTTGGAAATGTAATTCAGGAAGACTGAACCTCCTTTTGGCTTTAAACTAGGAATGGCCTATGTGAAAATGTAAACATTATAGGGGAGATAACAAATTAAATCTTACCTTCATTTCAGAGGAGGCTCTAGGAACACTGAAAGTAATGATAATCAAAATATTTAAGAGTTTTTCATGGACACTGCACAGTTGGAGTGGACACAGGCCGTAAACTTCCCCACGGTCACCCCAGTGTATATAGGAGAACTTGTCCCTGGGCACTGAGAGCTGAGGAGAGAAGTGCAAGGTGAAGGAGAGGAAGAATATTCTGGAGTTACTAAAGATGTAGTTGCCTACATTTGCTTACTGAAACCTGGCCTAAACCCAACACAAATCTAATTATAGTAAATTAGACAATCAAGAGCCACTTTTACTCTAAAATCTAAAAGATTGCTTTCAACTTTTAATTATTGCAAACATAGTCACTTTCTCACATATTATAGATAAAACATTTTGTTTGAGATTAATGAATGTTTATTTAGCTTCTTAACTGATTAGAATTTTGAGTAATTACTAACTGTGCAAGTAGTCATCAATATATATGTTCATTCTCATTTTAAATATTTTTTAATTTTTATTATCTTTGAATTTTTAAAATTATTTATACTATGTTATGGAAATATTTGGTGCAATTTAAACCATCTTAATTTGCTATTACCATCCATTCTGGATCATTTTAAAGCATTTTAAATTGAGACACAAGCCATCAAAATAAATTTATCTGAAGCCAAGTTTTCATTTTATAGTGTAAAATATTGTAACTGTATGACTCATTTTCAATATGATTTTTTATCTTGTTTATAATTTGTATGTTTTTGAATCCTGTCAAAACAGAATTATGATTTGCTTTCATAATTAGAAATATTGCATCATGTAAATCCTCTGTGCATGTAATCTGGTCACACTAGATTAACTTCTTTTTTAAAAATCTGACATATTTTTTATTACAACAAGATAGAAGAATTAAATAGTAAGCATACTTTTATTTGGTTGCAGTATGTGAAGAAATTGTATTCTCACCTATTGTTAGATATATATGTGCTTCAGCTAAGAATTTACAAGATTTATTATGCAGTCAGTAATAGAGTGAAATTTCTTTTTAAGGGTCTTGCTAAGATGTACTGATCTAGTTCAGTATTATAGTTTAATGCCTGGGTATCACAACAAGAATAAAAAAAAAGGTAACTATTAGCTTCTAATTAGAAAAACACATAAGGGCATTATTTATTATTTTCCTCTCTCTTTTAAATATAAAAACATGTATATTTCACTTTTGTAGCCAAAGAATTTTGGTTATAACTTATTTAGTATTTATTAATTTCAGTTTCAGTATCTGATGATTTAATCATTTAAAATTTTATATCATGATAATATATAAGGGAATATTTATTTTTGTAACCTAAAAACTTTAATACCAGAAATTGTGATCTTCAAAATAAAAAGCCTAACTTGTCAATTTAAAAGAATGGAGCTATACTATAACAGAAAAAATTTAACTTTTCAGAGGATTTCTCCAAAATTCCCAGTTAGAACCTGATATAAAATGGATAATTTAAAGCGTGAAGAGCTACTTCATTTGTACTCAGGCATACAAATTCATGTATCTCACAAAAAAATTTGCAAAAATAGCATTGCAAAAAAACCATATACATTCTGTGTATAAGTATTCTAATATGATTTATTTGGATAAATTAAGCAGCACATTACTGTCATAATATTAAAATTATTGGTTCTGTGTGGTATAAATTATGTTTTCAGACTTTACTATTGGAATGCATGTCTTATTTTATGGATTTTCCTTAGTTCTGGACTGCTCCAGTTCCCCCACTTAATCTACTGCCATTGTTGTGTTCCAGGACTAGTACATGCAAAAGAAAAGAAGGATGGGTCAGAAGAGCTTTGGAGAATCCTGGCACTTATTTGATTATGTTTCCAAAGACTCTCCAAAGTATATAGAGCCTATATAAAAGATGTTTGGTTATGCAGCAATTCCTTATCTTGCTATGGGAACCATATGTTGTAGTGGTTAAAAATATAAACTTAAGTATCACATGTGGGTTCAAACCTCTTCAGCATTTAGAATCTTAATGAATTTGGTTAGGTTAACCAACTTTTCTGTTTCAATTTTCATAGTTTACAATGGGGATTTTAATGGTCTGTAATGTATAGGTAGGAATACTGGGAACAGTAAGCATACAACACTCATTATTACTATTCTCAATCACTGAATAGAATAATGTGGATATTCAAAACTGGTCATCACTATGAGTTTATTTACCACTGTAAACAAGTTTAGCTACTTTCTAATCACTTGATTTTTTAACCAATGAAAATTGATTTTAATCATCTTCACAATTGTGGCTTACTCATTATCTCTGAAATATGATTTGAGTCTATGTAGTTAAAAGAAGGAATGAGATTTATTACTGAATGAAGTTAAATAACGTTAATCTTCAATTTCCCTTTTCAGTTTTCTAGTTTCAAAAAATAGAAATATCAAAATTCAAGTTAGGAAATGTTTCTGTGTTTCAAAAATATTTAGAGCATATCATGGAATAGCATGAAAATTAAAAATAATTATATATGTCTTTATGTTCATTGCTTAAACATTAAAGACCCTCTTTTTAGATGTCAAGTTGTACTGAAAAATCACAGTTCTTTAAAAATAATTAAGCTGGATTTTTTTAAGCTGAGATAATGTGATTCTTTGATATTACTTCTTCTGAATCAAAATTGCAGCGTGTCTTGGATCAAATCATATCCCACTTACCAAGAAAAGATACATTCAAGTTGTGGAGCTTAATATTTTAGAATAGGAACTTACTTACAGACAAGGTTGTGACAGAGGTAATCAAGGTAAAATGAGGTCATGGAGGTAGATCCTAAGCCAATATATGTGGAGTCCCCATATAAATGGAAAACTTGGACATGCAGACAGATGTGCAGAGGGAAGAAATCGTGAAAATGCACAAGGAGTAGACAGCCCTGTAATGGAAGTAATTTATCTACAAATAAAAGAATACCTGGGCTGGAGAAAGGAAGGGAATAGGTGCTTTCCTCATCATTTTAGAGGGAACATAGACTTCCTAGCATCTTGATTTTGTACTTCCAGCCTCCAGAACTGTGAGACCATAAATTTCTGTGTTCTGAGCCAGCTAGTTTGTGGTACTTTATTACCGCTACTGCTGTCTTAGTAAACTAACATAAAACTTCTGGTTAAATTTTGAGCATAATTGGGAAGACTTTAGATCACTTCCTTACCGAAAGAAGAAAGAACAAGAACTTTGTGGCTTTTATCCATTTCTGGACAATATTCAGCAGACAATGTTGCCGGAGAGCAAATTTGTTATGAGTAGAGTTCATGAAAATTGTTTTTTCTTACTGTTCTTTCACAGCTTCCCAAGAATTCAGGACTTTGTATCAAAGAGGGGAAAAAAACCCAGTCAAGAAATCTTTGGAAATGTCTCATGCAATCAGTAATTTACCAATAATTTAACAGTTGTATTAATTTCCTACCATTGTTGTAACCAATGGCCACACAAACTCAGTAGCCCAAAACAGACATTTATCATTTTACAGATTTGGAGGTCAGAAGTCCAAAATCAGTCTTGCTACATGAAAGTCAAGGTATTGGCAGAATTGATGCTGGAAATAATAGGGGAGAATCAATTTCCTTACTTTTGCCAGTTTTTACAGAGTACTCACATTTTTCATACAGTGGCTTCTACTTCCACCTTCAAATCCAGTAGCACAGTATCTTCTAATCTTTCCTTTTTCTTTGCTTCTGTTATTGTACTACAGAATGTCTATGAATATTCTCCCTCCCTTTTATAAGGGTTCTTGTTTTAACCTGGTTATGTGGGTTCTTGTGTTTACATGGTTCTCCTGCCAAAATGATCCAGGATCTTTATCTCAAGATTATTAACTTCATCATACCCCCAAAAGTTTTTTTATAGTGTAAGCTAACATGTTCACAGAGTCTAAGGATTAGGATGTGGGCAACGCCGAATTACCATTGGATGAAACTATCTGCAAATTATTTTGATGTAAATATCAGTTAAATTCTGGTGGAGAGTGGCTGCAATTACAGATTAATTACTTCATCTCAGCTTTACAGTCGTAATGCATCCTTGAAATTAGTATTAAAATGCGCTATGAGAAGCTTTGATTCTTGTGAGTCTGACTTGCAAAAACAAAAATAAACTCTTCACATTTTCTCATTCTCTAATAATTTTTCTAAATAAGTACTATTAAAGATGTATTATTATTTAATTTAATATTTATTTAGTAGATACCATGCTTTATCCCAGAATCAAATATAATCTAAATGCATAAGAAATTAATAAAATAATTACCATACCAAGGAGTTTATAATCTGTTCACTTGAATCATTTCAATTATAGGTGCATAAGTGGCCAGGCATAGTGGCACATGCCTGTAATCCCAACATTTGGGCGGTTGAGGGAGGAGATCACTGCAAGTATGAGGCCAGCCTGGGATGCATACTAAATTCAAGCCAGCCTGAATTACATAGCAAGACCTTGTCTCAAAAGAACAAATAAATGACAACAATAATAACAAAAAAATCTGCATAAGTGCCAAAATATTATGTTTATTTTCCTCTGCACAAGAATGATAGTCAAAGAAACTATGTGTTAATCTCAAAACATGTAACAAAAAATATCTTCTAGATCCAGAAATCTATGGAGACTTTGACTCTTCTTTCTGAAAAACAAGAAAGTTAATCAGTTCTAGGAAGTGGTCCACATAGACAAAAAAATTTAAGATTCCATTGTTTTTCTGTGAGCCCCTGAGACTTTTGCACATATTAGGACTTAGAGGGCTCTTTGTTGTAGCAGAGTCATTACTGAGGGTAGAGAGGAAAAATAATTAAGCCTGACTCATCATACTCTGAATCTATTCCCTTTATCAATGTAACAAGAATAAAGACAATTCAATAAGGTAAAAGGCCCAAACCTGACAGGAGGTCAAGAATATATAATCATGAGCTCTAACTTATCATTGTTTCTGAGGAAAAATTGAAAAAACTGATTTAGAAAAAGTGATTCTACTTTGATATGTAACGATCAATTAAGTTTTGAGAAATAAATCTTATTTTGTGATACCACAAACTCAATTGGTATAAAAGTCTGAGTTGAAACACCAAGGAGAAAAAAATTAAAAATTAATTTGTCTTAAAGTTCTGAAAACTACCAGGAATTAATATCTGCTTAAGGTTCCATAGATTAGAACAAAAAATAACCTAAGTAATTAACTGAGATTATTGATTGATGCATGTAATGTAATGCTTTCTTAATGTATGTAATGATTAATTACAAATAAAAATATTTCAGAAATAAGCTAAATTGCATTGTATCTACTTAGCACCCTGTTTGTTTTTTGTGTATTACTCTTGATATTTTTGCTTGAAAAATTAAAGAAACTCACAGTGAATTGAGTAGTATGTCAAAAAACACTTCAAAGCAAGGATGATAATAATAGGTAACACTTACTGAGTGCTTACTGTCTGTTGGGTACTACATATTTTATGATTATATGCAATATGTCATTTATGTCTTTCAGCAACCTGAGGTCAATCATTCTCTCTGAGAAAATTAAGGTAAGACAGACCTTTCTTGCTATTTCTCATTACCTATCTTTTATTTTGTTCTTAATTTATATTTTGGGTTCCTCATATAAGAGAAAATGTCCAAGAGATGGATGAGGGGGATGGAAGGGGAATGAAAGGGGATAAAGAAAGATTTAAGTTGTGTCATGTGCATATACCAGCTCCTCATGATGAATGTTATCATTATGTGCTAGAAATGTGTTAATAATAAAAATATAAAAATGGAAGGCTAGGTTATTTGCCTTAATATACATCCAGTACATAGAAAACTTGAATTGGAATCTTTACTCATTACAGAAAGTGCATGCTTTTACAGCAATCTATATAACTTCTTGCTTCTTGTTTGTCCCATTTTCCCATTCTGTCCACTCGGAAATGTCAGGGCAGTTTAAGCCTCAGATCGTAGATCGTTTCCCATCAGAATGTTGCTCTGACTCTGTCAGGCACAGTCCATGCATTATCCTTTGCTGATCTATAGAGAACAGAATAAAAAGATTGTTTAAACTTAAGCTTTTCTATAGCTGAGAGCATTATTTGATAGCAGAAGGCCCCCTCATGAGCTGATAAGTACAGAATTACTGATGATATATGATTTACCTCCAGAATAAGAAGGGCCAAACAGTACTTTATGAAAGAGCATTGAATACCTTTAATCATTTTGAAGGATTTGTAGGCATCAAAATGAATGTAAAAAACACAATGAATTCCAGATAGTTAGATGTGACTTCTGAAATGACTCATTGTTCTGACTCTATTAAGAATTTCCCAATTTATACATCACTTTACACATTCTGCTTCGCTTTCAATGTGCAACTCTAATAGCACACTCTCTCTTATTCCCACTGCCACTTATCTCTTCATTTTTCTGTACCTTTCAGAGATCCCTGCTATACTAAGTAATTTGTTAAAAGATTAAATTTGTCTTTAGCATATTCTTTTCCATAACCCACACAAAGTGACATGTTGGTCTTGTAGTTAACTCTGGCAGCCAGTAAAATACTGAGATTGAAAATTCAAACTAATTAATATAATTTACCTCCAAGCATCCTGAATGTATTAGAAATGATTTTCATCGTAGTTGAAACTTTAGGATGATTTCCAGTGATTATCAGGAGTGAATGTCTTGAAGAATATGTTTAGCTCTAGGATCAAATTCACACAAAAAATTTTAAACATGTCAAAATGTACATTAATACATAAAATAATACAATGAAATTTAAATGAAATGAAAGTATATTATGCATTTCTGTTATCTTAGGGTGCTGTTCTTATGCCTGAGTAGGAAGTAATACATTGTCCTGGAAGCACTGCATGGACACCTGGGTGCATGCCCCAAGATCTTTGGCGTACTAGCTAGGTCTGGGTGCTACTGTTGAATTGAAGCTATGAATTATTAGACTGCAGCAATCTGCAAAAACCAAAATTTGATGAAATAGGTCCATTTCCCACACTATTTCAGGGCCATTTTCTGCAAAGGGCAGTGTTTTCGTTCTTCGTAATGACTGTAGTTACTCTAACTGACAAGTGATAGCCTTTTGAACAGAACTATAACCAGCTCCTAATGGACATTCAGCATTTCCTGCCAGAGACAGTTATTATTACAGATTTTCTTGCAAATACCTCAGCATCTCTTCACTGATAAGTCTTTCTATGTCTCTTATTTTCTAGCTCGGCATTATGACCTTTGAAGAGATAGCATTTTCCTTCAAATTATGACATGATGACCAAAGCAGGATGTGAGGCCTCAGGAAGATATCTGTGAAATAACTAAATAACTAACACAGTGTGACACCCTAATGTTACTGAAGATCTAGATCATGCTTGAGAAGTATATTGAGAAAGTCAACCATTATTATTGTAAACTGAGAATGACTTTCTCAACTAAAAAATATCTTTTAAAAATAAGATCAACACTCTGATTTCTTCCCCCTGAATCTTTTGATCTATTAACAGGACCATTAATATGCTCACTTTGAAAAGAATGATATCAGTATTACCAAAAACAAAAACAAACAAACAAAAAAACAGGGCTCAAGTTAAAGAAAGTCACTGTATTATCACCTTCATGCTGCCTTTGTTCATCCAGTTATGGTAACGGCAAAGAAATCCTTGCTTAAAAGCTTAACAAATATCAAGTGGCCTTGTTCTTTAAACCCAGGTTGAAACTTGCAGTTCTCAAAATGACTTTAGAGTAAACTTTCTTCAAGGGCATTTTTTTTTTTTTTTTTGGTACCAGGGATTGAACTGAGGACCTTGTGCTCGCTGGGCAGGCAGCAGATCCACTGAGCTAAATCCTCAGCCCCTCAAGGGCATTTTTTTAAATGTAAAATTTGATGCTTCAGTTTGGTACAATGCTTTTCGTAACAAAGAACATGTAGATATTGTGAAATAGTTATAATTTAGGAACTGTGGACTTTGAAATCAATTCATACAAAATAGGTTATCATATAGATGCAAATGTGTATACATAATGCCCAGATATTTAGATTTGATTTGTGAAATCAGATCATATATATAACTGAATATGTTTTCAAAATATCTGAAAATATCAAAATCGATTTTCAAAATTTTGGGTAATGTATTAGTTTCCCGGACATGACATAACAGAAAAACTCAGAGTGCCTTAGAACAACAGAATTTTTGGTTCAGGATGATAGAATTCTGAAATGAAGTTGTCAGCAGGACCACACTTTCTCTGAGACATGTAGGGAAGTGTCTTTCCCACCCCTTCAGCTGCCGCTAGTTCAATGTGCAGCAGCAGCACTCTAACCATCATGTGGAATTCTTACTCTGTTTCTTTGCCTACTCCTCCCTCTGGGATGTCTGACTCTGTGTCCAAATGCTCCCTTTTTATAAGGACACAAGTCAGGGTGACATTGAATCAGAAGTCACCCTAATAATTTCACTATAACAATGCAAAGACCTTATTTCCCTATAGTTTACATTGAGGTACTGAGTTAAATTTCAATGTATCTTTTTTATTTTTTGGTACCGGCGATTGAACTCCCGTCCTTGCGCTTGCTCAGCAGGCGGTGAAACCACTGAGCTAAATCCCTGGCCAATTCAATGTATCTTTTTTTTTCAATCTACAGAGACATTTCAACACTTACTAGGGTATACACATTTTAATTTTAATTTGAAAAATTACCTGAATTTTTCCTTAAAATCCTCTACATTTGGGCTGAATGTTACTCAATGGTAGAGCACTTGTTTAGCACTTGTGAGGCCCTGGGTTCAATCCCCAGAGTCACTCACACACACACACACACACACACACACAC